AGCCCCCCAGAGCCCCCAAAACTGCCCCCCGATCCGCCCAGCGCTCCCCCCGGGACCCCCAGACGGGCCCAGTCCCTCCCAGTGCTCCCCCCGGGACCCCCAGACGGGCCCAGTCCCTCCCAGTGCCCCCCAGTCCCGCTGGTGCCTCGCGGAAAGGGCCCTGGGGCTGAACTGGGACCGTCCCAGTATCGACTGGGACCGTCCCAGTATCGACTGGGAGCGACCTCGGCCGCCCTTGGCCGGGCTGGGGGGAGGGGGGGCGGTGGCACCAGTACAGAACCAGTGACACCAGTACAGAACCAGTGACACCAGTACAGCACCAGGGACACCAGTACAGCTCCAGTAACACCAGTAACAGCAGTACAGCACCAGTAACACCAGTACAGCTCCCAGTGCAGCACCAGTACAGGTCCAGTAACACCAGTACAGCACCAGTAACACCAGTACAGCTCCAGTACAGCTCCAGTAACACCAGTACAGAACCAGTAACACCAGTACAGCTCCAGTAACACCAGTACAGAACCAGTAGCACCAGTAAACACCAGTAGAGCACCAGTAACACCAGTACAGCTCCAGTAACACCAGTACAGCTCCAGTAACACCAGTATGGCACCAGTAACACCAGTATGGCTCCAATAACACCAGTACAGCTCCAGTAACATTAGTATGGCACCAGTAACACCAGTATGGCACCAGTAACACCAGTACAGCACCAGTAACACCAGTACAGAACCAGTGACACCAGTACAGGCACCAGTACAGCACCAGTAACACCAGTACAGAACCAGTGACACCAGTACAGGGACACCAGTGACTCCAGTACAGTGACACCAGTACAGAACCAGTGACACCAGTACAGAACCAGGGACACCAGTACAGGGACACCAGTACAGGACACCAGTGACTCCAGTACAGAACCAGTGACACCAGTACAGTCAGAACCAGTAACACCAGTATGGCTGGAACCAGTGTAGCCCAGTCCACACCAGTAGACACCAGTACACACCAGTACAGGGACACCAGTATAACCAGTACAGGCAGCCAGTATGGCACCAGTGTACACCAGTACAGTCCAGTACAGGTGACACCAGTACAACCAGTACAGGAGCACCAGTACAGCCAGTACAGGTAACACCAGTACAACCAACACAGGGACACCAGTACAACCAGTACAGGGGCACCAGTACAACCAGTACAGGCAGTGTCAGGGCACCAGTGTAACCAGTACAACCAGCACAGGTGACACCAGTACAGCCAGTACAGGGCACCAGTACAATCCAGTACAGGAACACCAGTACAACCACTACAGGTAACACCAGTACAATCCAGTACAGGGCACTAGTGCCCCCAGTACCCCCTGTACGGCCCATGTGGGAGCTCCGCGGGGTGGGGGGTCTGGGGGGAGGGAGGGAGGAATTGGGGGAGGGGAAGGGAGGGTCACGTGACCGGCTGATGCGCTCGGGCCGATATAAAGAGCAGGGACCGGATCAAACACCGGCACCGGATCGAACCGACCGAACCGATCGAACCCGCACCGGATCGAACCGATCCCGGCACCGGATCGAACCGGACCGAACCGGATCAAAAACACGGCACCGGATCGAACCGGATCAAAACACCGGCACCGGATCGAACCGGATCGAACCGATCAAACACGGCACCGGATCGAACCGGATCAAACACCGGCACCGGATCGAACCGGATCAAACACCGGCACCGGATCGAACCGGACCGAACCGGGACCGGCTCGAACATCGGGAGCCGGATCGAACCGGGAGCGCGTCGGCAACTGGAACTGGACTGGCTCAGGACTGGCTCGGGACTGGCTCGGGACTGGGCCCGGGATCAGCAGAACTGGAGCAGGGACCGGGGCTGGAACCGAGAGCGGAACCGGAGCGGAACTGGGACCGCAGCGGGGACTGGGACTGGGACCGCAGCGGGGACTGGGAGCGGGCTAAGGACCCGAACCGGATCGGAACTGGGACCGCAGCGGGGACTGGGAGCTGGAACTGCAGCGGGACTGGGACTGGGACCGCAGCAGGGACTGGGAGCGGGCTAAGGACCCGAACCGGATCGGAACTGGGACCGCAGCAGGGACTGGGACTGGAACCACAGCGGGGACTGGGACCGGCCTAAGGACCCGAACCGGATCGGGACCAGACCTGGGACTGGATTAAGGAGCGCAGCCGGATCCGACCCGAAGCGGATCCAGCCCGAGAGCCGGAGCCGGGTTAGACCCGACTGGATCCGGATCAGCCGCTGGGACCGGATTAGGGACCAGAACCGGCTCGGAACCGGGTCAAGGACCGGGACTGGAGCCGGGACCGCACCGGGATTGAGGAGCCGAACCGGGCCGGGACCGGATTAAAACCCGGATCTGGATTAGACCCGACCCGGCCCCGGGGCTGGAACTGGAGTAAGACCCGGACCGGATCCAGGCAGAGGCAGCGCGGGGGGTCCCGGGGAATCCGAGGGTTCCTGGGGGTTCCTGGGGTCCTGGGGTCCCGGGGTCCGATGAGCGGGGACCCCGCAGGGATCCCCCTCCGACACCGCTCGTCCTGCCGGGGCCGCGGGCCGGGGGTCGCAGGGGGCGCAGGGGGCCGGTGCCCCGGGAAGATGCAGCTGCTGGAGCGCTTCTTCACCCCCGGGACCCCCGGCACCCCTCGTCCTCCCCCTCCCTCACCTCCTGCTCCTGCTCCTCCTCCTCCTCCGGGGGGGAAGGCCCTGTGGGGGTCCCCAGCCCCGCTCCCCACGGGGACCCCCGGAGGGACCCCTGGGCTTCGGGGACCCCTGGGGACACTCGGGGACCCCGGGGTCCTGCCTGAGCCGGGGGCTGAGCCGCAGCCACGAGGGGCTTCACCCCGGGGACCCCTGCGGGGACCCTCGGGGACATCCCCGACCCCTCGGGGACCTCTTGGGACCCTCGGGGACGTCGCCGGCCCCCGGGTCGCCCCTGACCCCTCGGTGCCCACCGGCGGCGGGGGCCGCGCCGCGGCCGCCCCCACGGAGACCCCCCGAGGGGTGGGGACGGCGTGGGGACCCTCGTGGACACCCCGACCCCCTCGGGGACCCCTGGGGACGTTCGGGGACACCCTGGGAGTCCCGCCTGCGCCGGGGGCTGAGCCGCAGCCACGAGGGGCTTCACCCCGGGGACCCCGGGGGCTCTGGGACGGCGCAGGGGGCCAAGGGGGCCCCACTGCAGCCCCCCCGGCGCCGGGGGCCGAGTCAGCTCCGCCTGCCCGAGGGCTCGGGGACAGCGCGGGGTCCCTGGAGCCCTCGGGGACATCGAGGGGACCTTCGGGGAGCCCCCTCTCCCTGGGGCCCCCTGCCCTTACAGCCCCCCGCCGGCGGGGGCCCGGCCGGGGGCCGGGGAGCCCTCGAGGGAGCGGGGGCGGCCTGGGGCTGCGGCGGGAGCAGAGCCGGAGCCAGGAGGGGCTGGGGGTCGCTCGGGGGCTCGGGGGTCCCCCGGCGCTCGCGCTCGCTGGAGGCCGTGGGGGCGCCCTGGGGTCCCGCTTCTCCGCTTCCTGGACGAGCTGACGCGGAGGGTCCTGAGCCCCGCAGAGCTGCGGGCGCTGGGGTGGCTCCCCGAGCGCCCCCCGCGCCCCCTGCAGCCCCGCGACCCCGAACTCCCCGGCACTCCCCGCACCCTCCCCGAGGACCCCGGACACCCCGGGACCCCTGCACCCGGGACCTCCCCGGGCCCCTGAGGCTCGGTGGGGGCCAGGGTCGCTCCCGGAGGGGCCTAGGGTCCCCCGGCTGCGTTCGGGGCGCCCCCAGGGAGGGGGCAGGGACCCCCGGGGCGGGGATGGAGGAGGAGGAGGAGGAGGAGGAAGAGGAGGATGAAGAGGAGGAAGAGGAGGAGGAGGAGGAGGAGGAGGGGGCAGGTACGGACACGGGGGCTTTCTGGGGGCACACCTGGGGCACCTTTTCTTGGGGAGGGAGGGAGCAGGGTCCCCTTTTTGGGGGAGGGGTCACCTTTGTCCCCTTTTGAGGGGGGGTCACATTTGGGTCCCCACAGGAGCCCGGAGGGTCCGGAGGCGCGGCGGGACCGAGGGGGTGAGTTTGGGGGTCCCAGCTCAGTTTGGGGGTCCCGGGTCAGTCTGGGGGTCCAGGGTCAGTTTGGGGGTCCCAGCTCAGTTTGGGGGTCCCGGCTCAGTTTGGGGGTCCCGGCTCAGTTCTGGGAGATCCCCGGGGTGGTTTCGGGTGGTTCTGCATCAATTTGGGGGGGGGGTCCCTGGGCGGTTTTGGGTGGTCCTACATCGATTCGGGAGCTCTCGGGGGAGGTTTGGGGATTCCTGGGTCAATTTGGGGGTTTCTGGGTCTGTTTGGAGGGTCCGGGGTCACTCTGAGGGGTCCCGGCTCAGTTTTGGGTGGTCCTGGGTCAATTTGGGGGTTTCTGGGTCTGTTTGGAGGGTCCCGGCTCACTCTGAGGGGTCCCGGGCCAGTTTTGGGGATTCCTGGGTCAATTTGGGGGTTTCAGGGTCTGTTTGGAGGGTCCAGGGTCACTCTGAGGGGTCCCGGGCCAGTTTTGGGGATTCCTGGGTCAATTTAGGGGTTTCTGGGTCAATTTGGGGATTCCTGGGTCAATTTGGGGGTTTCTGGGTCTGTTTGGAGGGTCCGGGGTCACTCTGAAGGGTTCCCGGGCCAGTTTTGGGGATTCCTGGGTCAATTTAGGGGTTTCTGGGTCTGTTTGGAGGGTCCGGGGTCACTCTGAGGGGTCCTGGACAGTTTTGGGGATTCCTGGGTCAATTTGGGGGTTTCTGGGTCTGTTTGGAGGGTCCGGGGTCACTCTGAGGGGTCCTGGCTCAGTTTTGGGAGGTGCCGGGCCGGGTTTGGGTGGTTTCTGGGGTCAATTTTGGGGTGCCTGGTCACTCTTGGGGGCGTCTCTGGTCACTTTGGGGTCCTGGGCGTTCGGGGGTCTCGGGTCGGTTTTTGGGGTCCCGGTCAGGTGCTGGGGGTCGCGGGGCCGTTCTGGGGTCCCTCAGCCCCGTCCCCCCAGGCCCCCGGCCCGATCGGAGCTGGACGCGCTGCGGGAGCGCATGGACAGGTGAGGGGGCGGGGCCTGGCGGGGCCACGCCCACGGGACACGGTGGTGATGTAATGTGGGCGTGGCTTGCTGAGACCACACCCCCAGGGCGGGACCGCGGGTGCTCCCAGTGCTTCCAGTGCTTCCAGTGCTCCCAGTGCTCTTCCAGTGCCCTCCCAGTGCTCCCAGTGTTCACAGTGCCTCCCAGTGCTCCCAGTGCCCTCCCAGTGCTCCCAGTGCCCCAAGTGTTCCCAGTGCCCTCCCAGTGCCTTCCCAGTCCCAGTGCTCCCAGTGCCCTCCAGTGTTCTCAGTGCCCTCCCAGTGCTCCCAGTGCCTCAGTGCTCCAGTGTCCTCCCAGTCCCTCCCATCGCTCCCACTGCCCTCCCAGTCCCTCCTAATGTCCCCCACTCCCTCCCAGTGTTCCCAGTCCCTCTCAGTATCCCCCCAGTGCCCTCCCAGTCCCTCTAGTGCCCTCCCAGTGCCCTCCCAGTGCCTTCCCAGTGCCCTCCCAGTGCCTTCTCAGTGCTCTCAGTCCCTCCCAGTGTCCCCCACTCCCTCCCAGTCCCTCCCAGTCCCTTCCAGTCCCTCCCATTCCCTCCCCCAGTGCCCTCCCAGTGCCCTCCCAGTCCCTCCCAGTCCCTCCCAGTGCCTCCCAGTGTCCCCGCAGGCTGCAGGACGATTACGCCAATTCCCAGCGGCTCAATCGGCTCCTGGAGGAGCGGCTCACGGGGCTGGTGAGGGGTCCGGGGTCCTGGGGTCCTGAGGCTGGGGGTCCTGGGGCCTGGGTCCTGGGGTCCTGGGGCTGGGGTCCTGGGGCTGACGGGGCTGGTGAGCGGGGCTGGGGGCTGGGGGTCCTGGGGTCCTGGGGGTCCTTGGGGCTGACGGGGCTGGTGAGGGGGCGGGGGCCCGGGGTCCTGGGGATCTCGGGGCCTGGGGGTCCTGGGGCTGAGGGCGGTCACGGGGGCTGGGGCCCTGGGGTGGTAGGGGGTCCTAGGGAACCTCGGGGGTCTGGGGGAATCTCAGCACTCGGGGGTCCTAGGGGTCTGGGGGATGTCGGGGGTCCCAGCATTTTGGGGTCCCAGTGACCTCGGGGTGTCCCAGGGGTCTGGGGGAATCTCGAGGGGGTCCCAGGAGTTTGGGGGTCCCAGTGGCCTCGGGGGGTCCTAGGGTCTGGGGGAATCTCGGGGGTCCCAGCACTTTGGGGGTCCCAGACGCCTTGGGCAGTCACGGGGGTCCCAGGGATTTGGGGAGGGGCCGCTTTTGGGTGTCCTGGGATTTGAGGGGTCCAGGGGGTCCTGGGATTTGGGGTTTTCCGTTTTTGGGGTTTTCCGTTTTGGGGGTCCTGGGGCTTTGAGGGGTCCTGTTGTTGGGTGACCGTTCTAGGGGTCCTGGGATTTGGGGTGTCCTGAGGGGTCCTGGGGATTTGAGGGGTCCTGTTGTTGGGGTGAGCCTGCTCTAGGGGTCCTGGGATTTGGGGTGTCCTGAGGGGGTCCCGGGATTTTGGGGTCCTGTTTTTGGGGTGAGCCATTGTCGGGGGTCCGTGGGGTCCCGGGATCCGTTTTTGGGGGTCCTGTTTTTGGGGTGACCTGCTGTCGGGGTCCCGTGGGGGTCCTGGGGATCCTGCTTTTGGGGTCCTGTTTTGGGGTGAGCTGCTCTCGGGGTCCTGGGATTTGGGGGTCCTGAGGGGGTCCTGGGATTTGGGGGTCCTGTTTTGGGGTGACCTGTTTTTGGGGGCAGGCCCAGGCCATGGCCCTGGAACGAGCCGCCCTGAGCCGCCACGTGGCCGAGGTGCTGCAGAGGGTCTGGGGGCCCCTGCTGGAGACCCCCGGCACACGGTGAGGGGAGGGGCGCGGGGGCTCTGGGGCTGTGACTCCTGCGGGGTCTTTGGGGTAGGGGGACAGCACTGGGGGTTAAGGGATGATTTGGGGGGTCGTGGGAGGGTGAAGGGGGGCTATGGGGGTAAAATTGAGGGGGCTGTGACCTTGGGGGGCCTTTAGGGGACAATTCGGGGTGGGAGGACAGCGGGGGGAATGGGGGCCAAGGGGGTCGGCGCTCTGGGGTGACCCTGCTTGGGTGACCCCGTGCCCCAGGTGGGGTCGTGGGGCCGGGCCGAGGCCGCCGAGGAGGAGGAGGAGGAGGAAGAGGGGAGGGCCTCTGCTGCCCCCCTGCCTTCAGGGACCCCCGAGGGGGCCCAGCCCTGACCCCCACCCCAAACCCACCCCTGGACCCCCAATAAAGAAACGAGACCCCTCAACCCCCCTCGTGGGGCTGAGTCGATTCTGAGGGGCCCCAAAGTGCCTGAAAATCACCCCAAAACCTCCCTGGGGAGCCCCAAACTGACCCCAGACCCCCCCGACCCCCAAACTGCCCAGGGACCTCAAAACCATCCCGAGGCACCCCCAGCCAGCGCCCCAGAGACCCCCAAACCCCAGACTCCCCAAACCAGCCCGGACCCCAAACTGCTCCCAGCCCCTAAACACCCCCAGGACCCCAACCCTCCGGGGACCCCCAAACTGCTCCCAGCTCCCCCAAAACACCCAGGGGGCACCATCAACCAGCGCTTTATTGGCACGAGGGGGCACATCCCCAAAACTCCCCTGGGACCCCCAAACTGCTCCCAGCTCCCCAAAACACCCAGGGGCACCATCAACCAGCGCTTTATTGGCACGAGGGGGGGGCACATCCCCCCAATATCCACCCAAAACCAGCCCAGGGACCCCCAAACCCCCCCATAACCCCCCCAAACTGCTCCCAGCCCCCAGGGCACCATCAACCAGCGTTTATTGGCACGAGGGGGCACATCTCCAAATCTCCCCAAAGCCCCTAAAGCCGGCCCGGGGGCAGGGGGTTCCCAGGGTGGGGGTCAGTCTGGGGGCACAGACGCCCCTAAAGCCAGCCCGGGGCAGTGGGGGATCCCCGGGTGGGGGTCAGTCTGGGGGCAGGGGATCCCTGGGGGCTGGGGTCAGTCTGGGGGGCACAGACACCCCAAACCCGACGCGGGGGGACAGGGGGGGGTCAGTCTGGGGGGCACAGACGCCCCCCGATGTCGTCCAGCAGCCAGTCCAGGCCGGGCAGGAGGTCCCGGCCCGTGAAGGCCGAACAGCCCTGGATGCGCCAGCGGTGGCTGCGGATGGAGTCCAGGTCCAGGGCCTGGAAAAGGGGGGACAAACGGGGGTCCCAGGGGTCAGGACCACCCCCCTAATTCAGGAGTAGGGGATTGGGGGGCTCCCAGAGGGGATGGAATTCAGACCCAGGGCCTGGGAAAGGGGGAGAACAGAAGGGTTTGGGGGTCCAGATTTGGGGGGGTCCCAGATTGAGAGGGTGGGGTGTCCCAGGATTTGGGGGTCCCTGTTTTGGGCTCCCCAGTTTGGGGGTACCTGTCTGATGGCCCTGTTTTGGGGGTCCCAGTTTTGGGGTCCCATTTTGGGGGGTCCCAGTTTTGGGGTCCCAGTTTTGGGGTCCCATGGGGTCCCATTTTGGGGTCCCAGTTTTGGGGTCCCAGTTTTGGGGTCCCTGTTTTGGGGTCCCAGTTTGGGGTCCCAGTTTTGGGGTCCCGTTTTGGGGTACCTGTCTGATGGCCCAGTTTTGGGGGGTCCCATTTTGGGGTCCCATTTTGGGGTACCTGTCTGGTGTCCCTGTTTTGGGGGGTCCCATTTTGGGGTCCCAGTTTTTGGGTCCCATTTTGGGGTCCCAGTTTTGGGGTCCCATTTTGGGGTACCTGTCTGATGTCCCTGTTTTGGGGTCCCATTTTGGGGTACCAGTTTCTGGGTCCCTGTTTTGGGGTCCCTGTTTTGGGGGGGTCCCTGTTTTGGGGTCCCAGTTTTGGGGTCCCATTTTGTGGTCCCAGTTTTTGGGTCCCATTTTGGGGTCCCAGTTTTGGGGTCCCAGTTTTAGGGTCCCTATTTTAGGGTACCTGTCTGATGGCCCAGTTTTGGGGTCCCAGTTTTGGGGGGTCCCAGTTTTGGGGTCCCATTTTGGGGTCCCTGTTTTGGGGTCCCATTTTGGGGTCCCTGTTTTGGGGTCCCATTTTGGGGTACCTGTCTGATGGCCCTGTTTTAGGGGGTCCCATTTTGGGGTCCTATTTTGGGGTCCCTGTTTTAGGGTCCCTATTTTGGGGTCCCTGTTTTGGGGGGGTCCCTGTTTTGGGGGGTCCCATTTTGGGGTCCCAGTTTTGGGGTACCTGTCTGATGGCCCAGTTTTGGGGTCCCATTTTGGGGTCCCTGTTTTGGGGTCCCATTTTGGGGTCCCTGTTTTGGGGTCCCTGTTTTGGGGTCTCATTTTGGGGTACCTGTCTGATGGCCCAGTTTTGGGGTCCCTGTTTTGGGGTCCCATTTTGGGGTCTCATTTTGGGGTACCTGTCTGATGGCCCTGTTTTGAGGGGGTCTCATTTTGGGGTCCCATTTCGGGGTACCTGTCTGATGGCCCAGTTTTGGGGTCCCATTTTGGGGGGTCCCTGTTTTGGGGTCCCTGTTTTGGGGTCTCATTTTGGGGTACCTGTCTGATGGCCCCTGCAGGCAGCGCCCCGGGCAGGTCCTGTTTGTTGGCGAACACGAGCAGGGTGGCCCCGGCCAGGCGCTGGATTTGGGGGGGACAAAGGGGCAGTGTCACCCCCCCTGTGACCCCACAACACCCCCATCCCACCCCACAGCCCCCCGTGACCCCCCTGTGACCCCGTGGGTCCCCAGCCCTGTGCCCACGTCCCCCGTCCCTCCCCACGACACCCCCTGTGTCCCTTGTCCCCTGCATCCCCCTGTCCCCCCTGCTCCCCCACGTCCCCCACATCCCCAGGGGTGTCCCCCTGTCCCCTCCCCACGACACCCCCCTGTGCCCCCTTGTCCCCTGCATCCCCTGTGCCCTTGTGCCCCCACATCCCCCCTGTCCCCCACATCCCCCACGTCCCCCCTGTCCCCAGGGGTGTCCCCCATGTCCCCAATGTCCCCAGGGGTGTCCCCCATGACCCCAGGGGTGTCCCCATGTCCCCCCTGTCCCCACGGGTGTCCCCATGTCCCCCCATGTCCCCAGTGGTGCCCCCCATGTCCCCAATGTCCCCAGGGTGTCCCTGTGTCCCCAATGTCCCCAGGGGTGTCCCCCATGACCCCAGTGTCCCCAGGGTGTCCCCAATGTCCCCAGGGGTGTCCCCAATGTCCCCAATGTCCCCAGGGGTGTCCCCAATGTCCCCATGTCCCCACTGTCACCTCCTCTCTGAGCAGGGCGCGCAGCTCGGCCCCGCAGACCTGCAGGTGCTGCCGGTCGCTGCTGTCCCCCCAGTGTCCCCAGGGGTGTCCCCAATGTCCCCAGGGGTGTCCCCCTGTCCCCAGGGGTGTCCCCCATGTCCCCAGGGGTGTCCCCCATGTCCCCAGGGGTGTCCCCCGTGTCCCCAAGGGTGTCCCCCATGTCCCCACTGTCACCTCCTCTCTGAGCAGGGCGCGCAGCTCGGCCCCGCAGACCTGCAGGCGCTGCCGGTCGCTGCTGTCCCCCTGTCCCCAGGGGTGTCCCCAATGTCCCCAGGGGTGTCCCTGTGCCCCCACTGTCACCTCCTCTCTGAGCAGGGCGCGCAGCTCGGCCCCGCAGACCTGCAGGCGCTGCCTGTCCCTGCTGTCCCCCCCATGTCCCCCTGTCCCCAGGGGTGTCCCCAATGTCCCCAGTGTCCCCAGGGTGTCCCCAATGTCCCCAGGGGTGTCCCCAATGTCCCCAATGCCCCCATTGTCACCTCCTCTCTGAGCAGGGCGCGCAGCTCGGCCCCGCAGACCTGCAGGCGCTGCCTGTCGCTGCTGTCCCCCCCTGTCCCCAGGGGTGTCCCCAATGTCCCCAGGGGTGTCCCCAATGTCCCCAATGTCCCCAATGTCACCTCCTCTCTGAGCAGGGCGCGCAGCTCGGCCCCGCAGACCTGCAGGTGCTGCCGGTCGCTGCTGTCGACCACCCAGACCAGCCCGTCCGTGCTCTCGAAGTAGTTGCGCCAGTAGGAGCGCAGGGAGCTCTGCCCACCCACGTCCCACACGTGCAGCTGGAACCTGGGGGGGCACCCACGGGCTCAACACGGGGACACTGGGGTCATCAACAAGGACAAGACGGCCAATAGGGGGTCAGTGGGGTCAGCCACGGGGTCAACACGGGGACATTGGGGTCATGGGCATCATCAGTGGGGTCAACACGGCCAACGTGGGGTCACTGGGGTCATCAATGGGGTCAACATGGGGTCATTGGGGTCATCAACAGGGGCAACACGGGGTCATTGGGGTCATTGATGGGGACAACACGGTCAATAGAGGGTCATTGGGGTCAGCCATGGGGTCAACACGGGGTCACTGGGGTCATCAATGGGGACAACATGGCCAATAGGGGGTCAGTGAGGTCATGGGAATCATCAGTGGGGTCAACACGGTCAACATGGGGTCAATTGGGGTCATCACAGGGTCAACACAGGGTCATTGGGGTCATCAACAAGGACAACGACGGCCAACAGGGGGTCATTGGGGTCATCAATGGGAACAACATGGCCAATAGGGGGTCATTGGGGCCATTGACAAGGACAGTACAGCCAACAGGGGGCCATTGACAAGGACAGTATGGCCAACAGGGGGTCATTGGGGTCATCAGCGGGGTCGCCACAGCCGATATCGGCTCGTGGGGGTCATCGATAAGGTCAGTGTGGCCAACACAGGGTCAGGGGGTCACGGGCGTGGCTGACTTGGCCAAGCCGGGGCCACCTCTGGGGCCACCTCTGGGACCACCTCTGGGACCACCTTCTGGGACCACTTCTGGGACCACCTGGGACACTCTGGGACCACCTCTGGGCACTCGGACCACTGGGACCACTCTGGACCACCTAGGGACCACCTCTGGGACCACCTCTGGGACCACCTCTGGGGTCACCTCTGGGACCACTTCTGGGACCACCTCTGGGGTCACCTCTGGGACCACCTCGGGTCACCCTGGGTCACCTCTGGGGTCACCTCTGGGACCACCTCTGGGACCACCAGCAGGACCGATGTGGCCACCAGGGCCACCAGGGCCCCCCAACCCCCACCACGGCCACCACAACCCTCGAGACCCCCATGGTCGCCTCCCCATGACCACGTGGGCACCACGGACCCGCCCTCCCTCCCCACGGCCACACCCACACTGTGGCCCCCCCTCCTCCCACGGCCCCGCCCTCCCTCCCCACGGCCACACCCACACCACGGCCCCGCCCTCCCTCCCCACGGCCACGCCCTCCCTCCCCACGGCCCCGCCCCCTCCCCGTGGCCCCGCCCACCCGCGGTGCTCGAGGGTCTTGATGTTGAAGCCGAGGGTGGGGGAGGTGCCCCCCACGTCCTCCCCGTTCAGCCGCTTCAGCAGCGTCGTCTTCCCGGCGTTGTCCAATCCCCTGCGAGGGGCGGGGCATCAGGACACGCCCACGACCACACCCTGGCAAGCCCCTCCTCCCGCTGAGTGACCACACCCCTTTACTCAGGCCCCTCCTCCCACTGAGTGACCACACCCCTTTACTCAGGCCCTCCTCCCACTGAGTGACCACACCCCTTTTCTCAGGCCCCTCCTCCCACCAAATGACCACACCCCTTTTCTCAGGCCCCTCCTCCCACTGGCCCCTCCCACCAAATGACCACACCCCTTTTCTCAGCCCCCTCCCACTGAGTGACCACACCCCTTTTCTCAGGCCCCTCCCACTGAGTCACTCCCACCAAATGACTCAGGCCCCTCCCACTCAGTGCCCACTCCTCCCTTTCTCAGGCCCCTCCCACCAAATGACCACACCCCTTTTCTCAGGCCCCTCCCAGTGACTCCTCCTCCAGCCCCACCCTGGATTGGCCCCACCCCTTGACATAACCCCACCCAGTGGGGGCCCCACCCCAAATTGACCCCTCCCCACAAGGCCCCGCCCACAGCACGTGCAGCTGCAGCTCCGCCCACCCAAAGCCCCGCCCCACCCTGATGGACACACCCCATCCCCAGAAAAGCCCCACCCTCATCCCCAAGGCCCCGCCCACATCATCCAAGCCCCACCCCTCAGTCCCCGTCCTATCACAGCCCTGCCCTCCCCAAAGCCCCGCCCACATCACGAGCAGCCCCGCCTCCTCAAAGCCCTCCACAACATACAGCCCCCCTGCCGAGCCCTGCCCACAACACGAACAGCCCGCCTGCCCGAGGTCCCGCCTCAGCACGAGCAACCCGCCTCCTCTGCCTCCCACAGCACGAGCAGCCCCGCCCCTGCCCGAGGCCCTGCCCACAGCACGAGCAGCCCTGCCCCTGCCCGAGGCCCCGCCCACAGCACGAGCAGCCCGCCCCTCTCAAAGCCCCGCCCACAGCACGAGCAGCCCTGCCCCTCCCGAGGCCCCCCCTCTCGAAGCCCCGCCCACAGCACGAGCAGCCGCAGCTCCCGCTCCTTTTCCCGCATTTTCTTCAGGATCGTGAGCAGCCCCATGGCGGCCGCGCGCGCCGGGCCACGCCCCTCCGGCCACGCCCCCTCCGGCCCCGCCCATTTGGCCCGCGCGGTCCCGCTTCTCCTCCGCCACTTCCGGGTGCGCGGCTGCGGCGCTCGGCGCCCCTGGCGGGCGGGAGGACTGCGGGGCAGGGCGGGGGCGGAGCCCGGGGCCGGATGGGGGTTTGAGGGTCCCCAGGGGGTTCCTGGGGGTCCTGCATCATCCCGCCCCCCCCGTCATGGCCGCCCGACGCCTCCTCCTCCTCCTGGTGCTGCTGCTGCCCCCGGCCCGGCCCGACGCCCCCGGCCCCGGCTGCCGCCTCCGCTGTAAGGGCCGGGGGGACCCCTAGGACCCCAACACCCCGGGACCCCCAACACCAGCTGGGACCCCCAACCTCTTCCGGGACCCCCAACACCCCCTGGGACACCCAACCTCCCCGGGACCCCCAACACTCCCTGGGACCCCCAAAACCCCCGGAATTCCCATTCGTTTTTGGCTCCCCGCCCCCAACCCTCCTGGCCCCGCCCTACACTCCCAAGCCCCACCCCGTCCCCCCTCCCCGCAGGATCCAGGGGACCCCACTTCTTCCCCCATTCCAGGGTCCCCTTTCCCCCCAGAGCCCTCCCCCACCCTGTCCCCCCCATTCCAGGGGTCCCTCGAGCCCCTCCCCACCCTGTCCCCCCCATTCCAGGGTCCCCGTGCCCCTCCCCACCCTGTCCCCCCCATTCCAGGGTCCCCGTGCCCCTCCCCACCCTGTCCCCCCATTCCAGGGGTCCTCGTGCCCTCCCCACCCTGTCCCCCCCCATTCCAGGGGTCCCCGTGCCCCTCCCTGCGGGGGCAGGGCGGTGCCGGGTGGGCGGAGCCTCCCTGGGCGCATGCGCGGGGCACTGCGAGTCGCGCGCCGGCCCCGCCCCGCGCGCTGCTGGAGGCCGGAGGGCGCCCTGCTGGCCGAGGCGCGGTGCTGCACCATGGACCACGTGACCAGGGTGGGCGGGGCTCCTGGACGGTGTGGGCGGGGCTTGAGGAGGGCGGAGTCGGGCAGTGAAAGTGGGTGGAGTCAGGTCAGTGATTGGCAGGCTCTGCGGGTGGGCGGGGCACAGAAAGGGGTGGGGTCTGCGGTGGGCGGGGCCTGTGGGCGTGCCTTAACATACATTGTGGGTGGGGCTTTATGCACCTGTGGGCGGGGTTATTCCGAGAGTGGGCGGGACTCTGAATGTGTGGGCGGTGCGGGCTGCGTGGTGCGGTGGGCGGGGCTGTGGGCGTGGCTCTGGTGCCTGGGCGGGGCCTGGGGCGTGGTTCCGGTACGGTGGGCGGGGCTGTGGGCGTGGTTCCGTGCATGGTGGGCGTGGTTCCGGTATGGTGGGCGGGGTTGTGTGGGCGTGGTTCCGGTGCCGTGGGCGGGGCTGTGTGGGCGTGGTTCCGGTGCGGTGGGCGGGGCTGTGGGCGGGTTCCGGTGCGGTGGGCGCGTGGTTCCGGTGCGGTGGGCGTGGTTCCGGTACGGTGGGCGGGGCTGTGTGGGCGTGGTTCCGGTACGGTGGGCGTGGTTCCGGTGCGGTGGGCGGGGCTGTGGGCGTGGTTCCGGTGCAGTGGGCGTGTCCCTGACCCCCGTGTCCCCTCCCCCAGGTGGAGGTGACCCTGCGCTGCCCGGGGGGGTCCCGGCGGCTCCGCTCGGTGTCGGCCGGGTCGTGCCGGTGCGACATGTGCCGCCTGGCCCGGTACTGACCCCAGGCGGGACCCCCCGGGACCCCCCTGGGGGCACCCGGGACCCCCCGGCTTGGCTGCGTCCCCCCCATTAAACGAAGCAGCACGAGGGGAGTGTCGGAGTTTTGTGGGGTCTTGGGGTCTGGGAGTTTGGGGGTGGGGTCCCAGAAATTTGGGGGGGTCTCAGGAATGGGCCGGGGGGAGCTGGGGTGGTTGGAGGTGCCGGGGTTTGGGGTTCCCGGGAGTTTGGGGGTCCACAGCGGTTTGGGGGGTCCCAGAAATTGGGGGGGTCTCAGGAATTGGTCTGGGGCTGGTGGTGGTGGTGGTGGGTTTGGGGTTCCCGGGAGTTTCCCGGCAGTCCCGGCTCCGTTTCCCGGCAGTCCCGGCTCCGTTTCCCGGATTTGCCGGCTCCGTGTCCCGGCGGTCCCGTTGCCGTTTCCCGGCGGTCCCGGCCGTTTCCCGGATTTGCAGGCTCCGTTTCCCGGCGGTCCCGGCTCCGTTTCCCGGCGGTCCCGTTGTTTCCCGGCAGTCCCGGCTCCGTTTCCCGGATTTGCCGGCTCCGTTTCCCGGCAGTCCCGTTGCCGTTTCCCGGTGGTCCCGTTGTTTCCCGGCACTCCCGGCTCCGTTTCCCGGTAGTCCCGGTGCCGTTTCCCGGATTTGCCGGCTCCGTTTCCCGGCGGTCCCGGCTCCGTTTCCCGGCGGTCCCTTCTCCCTTTCCCGGCAGTTCCGGCTCCGTTTCCCGGCACTCCCGGCTCCGTTTCCCGGCAGTCCCGTTGCCGTTTCCCGGCAGTTCCGGCTCCGTTTCCGGCGGTCCTGGCCTGCTTCCCGGCGGTCCCGGCTCCGTTTCCCGGATTTGCCGGCTCCGTTTCCCGGCGGTCCCGGCTCCGTTTCCCGGCGGTCCCGGCTCCGTTTCCCGGCGGTCCCGGCTCCGTTCCGCCGAGGCCCCGCCTGGCCGCGATGGCGGCGCGGGCGGCGCTGGACGCGGCGGTGCCGCGGGACGTGGTTCTGTTCAGCCACGACCGGAGCCGCCTGTTCCGCCTGGCCGGGCTGTTCTGCGCGGGGCAGGCGCTGTTCTGGGCTTACCTGGCCCGCGTCGCCTTCACCGCCCTGCGGCCCCAGCCCGGCCCCGGCCCCGGCCCCGACCCTGAGCCGGCCCGGCCCCGAGCCCGGCCCCGACGGCCCCGCCGGGCCCCGGGACCCGCTGCGGCCCCGCGACAACAAATGGCGCTTCGGCTTCGCCGCCTCCTGCCTCGGCATCGGTACCGGCACCGGGGCTACTGGCGGACCGGGGCAGAGCGGGGGAGCACCGGGGCGGACCAGGGCGAGTCTACCAGGGTCAGACTGGGGTGGCACTGGTCAGACTGGGGTTACTGGGGCTACTGGGTGCACTAGGGGTTAGACTGGGGGCACTGGATCAGACTGGGGGCAGGGGGTCAGACCGGGGGACACGGGGCGGACGGGGCTACTGGGGCGGACCGGGGAGCACCGGGGTCGGACCGGGAAGCACCGGGGTCAGATCGGGGAGTACCGGGGTCGGACCGAGGGGACCGGTTACTGAGGCAGACGGGGGTTACCGGGTTAGACTGGGGAGCACCGGGTCAGACTGGGGGCACTGGTAGACCGAGGGCACCAGGACTGACGGGGGGCAGCGGGATCAGACCGGGGGGCTACTGTTAGATCGGGGAGCACCGGGGCAGAGGGCACTGATCAGACTGGGGGCACCGGGTTAGACCGAGCGGTTACCGGGGTCTAGATCGGGGAGCACTGGGGTCAGACTGGGGAGCACTGGGTCAGACTGGGGGCACCGGGGTCAGACTGGGGGAGTTACCGGGGGCAGACTGGGGGGAGCACTGGGGTTAGACTGGGGGCACCAGGGTCGGACTGGGGAAGCACCGGGGGCGGACCGGGGACAGTGACCGGGGGCACCGGGGTTAGACCGGGGCACCGCAGACCAGGGGAAGCACCGGGTTAGGACTGGGGGAGCACTGGGGCAGAGTGGGGAGCACTGAGGCGGACCGGGAGGGCACTGGGGTCAGACCGGGGAAGCACCGTAGACCGGGGCGGACTGGGGCACCAGGGGACTGGGGTCAGACCGGGGCACAGTCAGACCGGGCGGACCGGGGCACCGGGGTTACGGGTCAGACCTGGGGCACGGTCAGGAGAGGGGACCAGGTTTGGACGGTGCTTAAACCGGGCCCGGGGAACGGGATCGGGGGGGACAAACCGCGCTCAGGGGGAGGGGACGGGGCTGAGGGTCCCCCGTTGTGCCCGCGGTGCCCCCTGACCCCCGGCGTGTCCCCCCCCGTGCCCGCAGGGTCCCTGACGGTGGCCGCGGGCTGGCTGTGCCCGCTGCGGGTGGTGCGGAGGGTGACGCTGCTCCGGGGGGGCTCTCGGGTGACGCTGCAGACCCACGGCCCGCTGGGCTGGGGGCGCGGCGAGACCCTCACGGTGCCCCTGCGCGACGTGTCCGCCCGCGCCCACCGCGCCGAGGCCGCGGCCGCCGTGCCCGTCCGGGTGCGGGGCCGCCCCTTCTTCTTCCTGCTCGACAAGAGGGGGCTCGTCGGGGACCCCCGGCTCTTCGACCTCACCGTGGGCGCCTACCGCAAGTTCTAGGGGGCCCGGGGGCGTCCGGGGACACGGGGGGGCAGCTCGTGGGAGCCCCCAAATAAAACCGGAGACACCCCCTCCCCCGTTTATTGAGCACCGGACACCGATTATTGACCACACAGCGCCATTTACTGAGCCCCTCACCCCCGGCCCCAAAATCACCCCGGTGTCACCCCCAGAGCCCCCTTCCTCTGGGGAACAACGTCCCAGCCGATCCCAGTGGGGTCCCAGTGAGATCCCAGAGGTGTCCAAGCTGGTCACAGTGGGATCCCAGCAAATCCCAGCTCTGTCCCCCCCCATTCCCAGGGCTGTCCCCCCATTCCGAGGCTGTCTCAAGCTGATCCCAGTGGGATCCCAGGGAATACTCTGCCTGGGGGCCGATCCCAGGGCTGTCCCCCCCCATTCCCAGGGCTGTCCCCCTCCCCGATCCCAGGGCTGTCCCCCACTCAGAGGAGCAGGCATTCCAGGGCATACTCCTGCCCAGGGCCGATCCCAGGGCTGTCCCCCCATTCCCAGGGCTGTCCCCCATTCCCAGGGCTGTCCCCCCCATTCCCAGGGCTGTCCCCCCCCATTCCGGGGGCTGTCTCCCCTCAGAGGAGCAGGAGCAGGGAATACTCTGCCCGGGCCGATCCCAGTGCTGTCCCCCATTCCGGGGCTGTCCCCCATTCCCCTCACAGGAGCAGGAGCAGGGAATACTCTGCCCGGGGGCCGATCCCAGGGCTGTCCCCCATTCCAGGGCTGTCCCCCCATTCCCAGGGTACTGTCCCCGGCCATTCCCAGGGCTGTCCCCCCTCAGAGGAGCAGGAGCAGGGAATACTCTGCCCGGGGGCCGATCCCAGGGGTGTCCCCCCCCCATTCCCAGGGCTGTCCCCCTCCCGATCCCAGGGCTGTCCCCCATTCCCGGGCTGTCCCCCCATTCCAGGGCTGTCCCCCATTCCCGGGCTGTCCCCCTCAGAGAGCAGGAGCAGGATCTCTGCCGGGCCGATCAGGCTGTCCCCCTCAGAGGAGCAGGAGCAGGGAATACTTGCCCGGGGCCGATCCCAGGGCTGTCCCCCCATTCCCGGGGCTGTCCCCCCCATTCCCGGGGCTGTCCCCCCTCACAGGAGCAGGAGCAGGGAATACTCTGCCCGGGGCCACCTGCGCGGTGCCGCAGCTGCGCGGCCGATCATGGGCAGTTTGTGGGCGTAGCGGGGCCCGGGGGGGGCCCCGGGGGGCTGCGGGAAGAGGGTCTGGAAGCGGCGGCCGGGGCAGCGGCGCCCGACCTGGCGGCCGGCGATGACGAAGCTGAAGCGGGGGGGCCCTCGGGGGGCGAAGCGGCACTTCTGGAAGACGTCGCGGGCTCCGGGGCGGCCCCCGGGCTGTCGGGGGCTCCGCGGGGCCGGGGGCCCGGCGGGCCGCGGCAGGGCCGGGCGGCCCGGGGGTCCTGGGGCTCCTCGTCCGTGGCGTGGGCCGTGAGCTGCGGCATCTTCCGCGCCGCGCCCTCGGCCGGGGGTCCTTGCGGGCGCCCTCGGGGGCCCAGGGGGCGCGGCGGGCGCGAGGGCGCCGGTGCCGAAGCGGGCGGCCAGGCTGTCCCCGAAGAAGTCGTAGAGCTCCCGGTACATGTCCCGCAGCGACGGCGGAGGGGCCGGCGGGGACGCGGAGGACGAGCACGACGAGGACGAGGAGGAGGCAGGAGGAGGAGGAGGGAGGGAGGAGGGGGGACGACGCCCCCCACGCCCCCGACCGCCCCTCCCGCCAGGAGGGGCCGGCCCAGACCCCAGCCCAGCTCCGGGGGTCCTGGCCGAGGCTGCCAGGGAGCCCTCGGGACCCCCCGGAGATGGAGCCTGCTGGGCCTTCGCCTTCAAGAGCCGCTCCACGGCCACCTGGGGACAGGAACGGGGACAGGGATGGGGACAGGGACAGGGATGGGGACAGGGGGGACAGGGATGGGGACAGGGGGACAGGGATGGGGACAGGGGGACAGGGGGACAGGGGGACAGGGACAGGGATGAGGGGGGACAGGGATGGGGACAGGGGGACAGGGATGGGGACAGGGGGACAGGGGGGACAGGGACAGGGATGGGGACAGGGACAGGGACAGGGGACAGGGGGGACAGGGACAGGATGGGGACAGGGATGGGGACAGGGACGGGGACAGGGATGGGGGACAGGGGGACAGGGATGGGGACAGGGGGACAGGGACAGGGACAGGGACAGGGACAGGGGACAGGGATGGGGGGACAGGGATGGGGACAGAGGGACAGGGATGGGGGGACAGGGATGGGGACAGGGGACAGGGATAGGGACAGGGGGGACAGGGATAGTGGGGACAGGAGGGGACAGGGGGACAGGGACAGGGACAGGAGGGACAGGGAGGTGACAGGGGGACAAGGATGGGGGGACAGGGATGGGACGGGACAGGGATGGGGCACAGGGCGGACAGGGACAGGGCACAGGGGGACAATGGGGGCACAGAAGAGGGTAGTGGGGGACACACAAGGGGACAGCAGGGGCGAGAATGGGGTCAGTAAGGGACAGTGGGGGGGGTACAGAGAGTGTGACCCCCTCCCCTCACCAGGATGGGGCACAGGGGCTGTGACCCCCCCCAAAATGCCCCCCCTCACCAGGATGGCTCCGTAGACCTTGTGCCCATCAGCCTTGACCTGCGCGTTGGACACGGAGTTGTCGTCCAGCACGGCCTGCAGGTTGGCCCAGTAGGTGGGCAGGTGGGGGTACAGAACCCGCTCCACGGCCTGGGGGGACACGGGGGGGACGCTGAGAGCACCCCCTGGGCACGGGGACCCCCCAAATGGGGGTACAGAACCCGCTCCACGGCCTGGGGGGACACGGGGGGGACGCTGAGACCACCCCCTGGGCATGGGGACCCCTCAAATTGGGGTACAGAACCCAGTCCATGGCCTGGGGGGACACGGGGGACACTGAGACCACCCTGGGCAGAAATGGGCGCACCCCTCAGGCTGGGGGCACAGAGACCCGCCCTGCACGGACCATGGGGGACACGTGGGGACACTGAGACCACCCTCTGGGCACGGGGACCCCCCAAATGGGGGTACAGCACCCAGTCCATGGTCAGGGGGGACGCTGAGACCACCCCCTGGGCATGAGGACCCTCAAATTGGGGTACAGAACCCGCTCTATGGCCTGGGGGGACACGGGGGGGACACTGAGACCACCCCCTGGGCACGGGGACCCCCCAAATGGGGGTACAGCACCTGCTCCATGGCCTGGGGGGACGCTGAGACCACCCCCTGGGCACAGGGACCCCATTTGGATGGGGATACAGCACCTGGTACATCCAGGGGGGGACACTGAGACCACCCCCTGGGCACGGGGACCCCCAAATGGGGGTACAGCACCCACCCCACATCCAGGGGGGGACACACAATGAGACCACCCCCCCTTGGGCACCAGGACCCCCAAAACCGCCCCCCAGGACCCCCAGAACCCCTCCTGGACCTCTCTCAGATTCCCCCCAGGCACTCTCAGGACCGACCCCCTGAGCTCACCCAGGACCCTCAGAAGCTCTTTGGGGCCCCCAGGACCCTCCTCCCCTGGAGCCCCCAGCCCCCTGGGCCCCCCCAGCCCCCCAGCCCCCGGACCCCCAGCCCCTGACCTTCCAGCCCAGGGCGTGCAGCCCCACCACGGCCCCGTAGTGGGAGCAGAGGGGCCGCACGGGATCCGCCAGGACCTTCTGCAGCGACAGCAGGATCTGCTGGTAGAGCCCACTCACCAGGTCCCCGTGGGTCCTGCGGGCACAGACGGGCTCTGGGACCCCCTGGACCCCAGAGCCCCCTCTGGGACCCCCCCAGGCCTTCCCCGGGATCCCTCTCAGACCTCCCCATGGGCACATTCAGGAACCCCCCCGGAACCTCCCCAGAACCTCCCCAGGGCCCCCAGAACCTCCCCAGGACCCTCAGAACCTACCCAGGACCTTCAGAACCTCCCCAGGACTTTCAGAACCTCCCCAAGACCCTCAGAACCTCCCCAGGGCCCTCAGAACCTCCCCAGGACCCTCAGAACCTCCCCAGGGCCCCCAGAACCTCCCCAGGACCTTCAGAACCTCCCCAGGGCCCCCAGAACCTCCCCAGGATCTTCAGAACCTGCCCAGGGCCCCCAGAACCTCCCCAGGACCTTCAGAACATCCCCAAGACATCCAGAACTTCCCCAGGGCCCTCAGACCCTCCCCAGGGCCCTCAGAACCTCCCTAGGCCCCTCAGAAGCTCCCCAGGACCTTCAGACCCTCCCCAGGGCCCTCAGAACCTCCCCAGAACCCCCAGAACCTCCCCAGGGCCCTCAGAACCTCCCCAGGGCCCCCAGACCCCGCTCTGAGCCCCCCACCAGAAGATGCGGCTGAGCAGCAGCGCGGCGCAGTCGCGGAGGGTCCAGTGGTCGTTGAGGGGGTTGATGGAGGCGGCGAGGGGCTCGAGGACGCAGTACAGGACGCTGCCGATGAGGGAGCACACGTAGGAGCCCAGCCCCAGGAAGGGGTTCAGCACCAGGCTCCGCGCCAGGTGCAGCAGCCGGTTCAGCTGCTCCAGGTCGTGGCTCACCGACTTCACCTGGGGGGGGAGAGACCCCTCAGAGGGACCCCCCAGTGACACCCCAGTGACACCCCAGGACCCCCATGCCAGGGCCAGCTGCCAAACTTCACCTGGGGGGGAGAGACCCCTCAGAGGGACCCCCTGGGACCCCCCAGTGACACCCCGGGACCCCCCAGTGACACCCCAGTAACACCCCAGGACCCCCATGCCAGGGCCAGCTGCCAAACTTCACCTGGGGGGGAGAGACCCCTCAGAGAGACCCCCTGGGACCCACATTGACACCCCGGGACCCCCATGCCAGGGGCAGCTGCCAGACTTCACCTGGGGGGGAGAGACCCCTCAGAGGGACCCCCCGGGACCCCCCAGTGACACCCCAGGACCCCCCAGTGACACCCCGGGACCCCCCATGCCAGGGGCAGCTCCCAGACTTCACCTGGGGGGGGGAGAGACCCCTCAGAGGGACCCCTGGGACCCCCCGGGACCCCCCAGTGACACCCGGGACCCCCCCAGTGACACCCCGGGACCCCCCATGCCAGGGGCAGCTGCCAAACTTCACCTGGGGGGGGGGGAGAGACCCCTCAGAGGAATTCCTGGGACCCCCAACCCTGTGCTCACCCCACTGACCATCAGAACCCCCTGGGACCCCCCCCGTCCCCGTGAGACCCCACTGAGCATGAAAGCCCCGTGGGAGGGACACTCTGGGACCCCCAGAGCCCCCCAGAGCCCCCCCGGCCCCCACTGACCCCGCTGACCACGTAGACGAAGTAGGGCAGCAGCGCCGCGATCTTGGAGTTGGTCTGAAGGTCCTGCAGGGCCACCTGGGGGGTCCTGGGGGGTCAGACCCGCCCTGGGTCACCCCCCCTCCCCAGGGGGGCTTTGGGGGTCCCCAGACCCCCCCTGACCTTCATGAGCTGGGGGTCGTCGCCCAGCACGGCCCGGGTGACGTGTTGGTAATACTTGAGCAGGTCCTCGGAGAGCGACGAGACGGCGCTGGGGACTGGGGGGGCACGGGGGGGTCACCCCGAAATGCACTGTCCCAAAATGCACCTCCCCAAAGTATACCCCAAAATGCCCCGTCCCAAAATGCACTTCCCCAAAGTATACCCCAAAACCCACCATCCCGAAATACACCTCCCCAAAAATCCATCCCAAAATGCACCTCCCTGAAATGTACCCCAAAATCCACCACCCCAGAATGCACCTCCCCAAAACCCATCCCAAAATACACCTCCTCAAAAATCCACCCCAAAATCCACCATCTCAAAATGCATCTCCCCAAAGCATACCCCAAAATCCACCACCCCAAAATCCACCACCCCAAAATGCACTTCCCCAAAAATCCACCCCAAAACACACCTCCTCAAAAATCCATCCCAAAATGCACCTCCCCAAAATATATCCCAAAATCCACCACCCCAAAATAAACCTCCCCAAAAATCCACCCCAAAATACACCATCCCAAAATGCATCTCCCCAAAATATACCCCAAAATCCACCACCCCAGAATACACCCCAAAATCCACCACCACAGAATACACCTCCCCAAAAACCCACCCCAAAAATCAACCCCAGAATGCACCTCCCCAAAAACCCACCCCAAAAATCAACCCCAGAATGCACCTCCCCAAAAACCCACCCCAAAAATCAACCCAAAAATGCACCTCCCCAAAAACCCACCCCAAAAATCAACCCCAAACCCCATCCTCCCAAAACACCCCCCCCAGTACAGCCCCCCACGATGCCCCCACCCCAAAAGCCGAGGCTGCTCCTCACCTGCTCCCTGCGGCTCCAGGTTCCCTTTGCCATCCAGGTAGGACACGTGCACTGCGGGAGGGGGGCACAGGGCGGGTGAGACCCCCGGGCTGGGGGTCCCAGGGGGTTTGGGGAGGATTTGGGGGTCCCAGGGGGTCCCCACCTCTGACGGCCGTCTCGGCACAGCCCTTGGGGATGTTGGTGGCCAGCGCCAGCTCCACCAGGTTCACCTCCCGGTCCTCCTGGAAGAAGAGCTCGCCCTCCTTGATGGCCCGGAAGGGCAGCGAGTCCTGCGAGCCGAACCCGCACACGGCCTGGGGGGGACAGGGCGGTGACACCCCCGGAGCGGCCCCCGGGACCCCCCGGGACCCCCCCCCAAAGCCCCCTGCCCACCTCGACGTTGCTCCAGCGCAGGGCCCGGTTAAAATCCTCCACGGTGAGGCGGCGGCGCCGGGTGTGTTTGAGGAACTGCGAGCTGTTCTGGGACACCGGGAACGGGGATCGGGACCGGCACCGGGAACGGGATCGGCACCGGGAACGGGAACGGGATCGGCACCGGCACCGGGAACGGGATTGGGACCAGCACCGGGAACGGGATTGGGACCGGAACCGGGACCGGGATTGGGATCGGGACCGGGACCGGGAATGGGATTGGCACTGGCACCGGGAACGGGATTGGCACTGGCACCGGGAACGGGGATGGGACCGGAACCGGGACCGGGATTGGGATCGGGACCGGGACCGGGAACGGGATCGGGACCGGCACCGGGAACGGGATTGGCACTGGCACCGGGAACGGGGATGGGACTGGGATTGGGATCGGAACCGGGGACGGGACCAGAACCGGGATTGGGGTCGGAACCGGGACCGGAGAGGGGTTGGGACCGGCACCGGGATTGGGATCGGAACTGGGAACGGGGATGGGACTGGGACTGGGATCGGAACCGGGACCGGGACCAGGGACGGGAGTGGAACCGGAACTGGGATCGGAACCAAGGACGGGACTGGGATCGGAACCGGGGACGGGACTGGGACTGGAACTGGGATCGGAACCGAGGACGGGACTGGGATCGGAACCAGGGACGGGGATGGAACCAGAACCGGGATCGGAACCGGGGACGGGACTGGGACCGGAACTGGGATCGGAACCGGGGACGGGACTGGGATTGGAACCAGGGACGGGACTGGGATCGGAACCGGGGACGGGACTGGGATTGGAACCAGGGACGGGACTGGGACCGGAACTGGGATCGCTTTCGGGAGTGGGATCGGCAGCGGCTCCATCACCGGGACCGTCCCGGAGCGGGACCCGGAGCGTTCCCGGGATGCCCCCCCCGGTACCTGGGTGGCCTCCCGGAGCCGGTAACAAACGTCCTCGGCCAGCAGCGCGGCCACGTCGTCGCTGAGCTCGAGCCCCGCGCTCTCGGCCATCAACCGGACCGAGTCCCGGGGCAGCTCCACGAACCTCCGCTCCTCCCGCTCCGCCATCGCGCCGGGGGCGGGGCCAGCGCATGCAAATGAGACCGAACGGAGGGGATGACGGGAGGGGCGGAGCGACAGCGCGCGCGCGAAAAGGGTTGATGGGAGCCGGGGGCGGGGCTATGCAAATGAACCAGGGACGCGCTCGGAAAGGAGGGATCGATACCGATCCCGATGGGGATCGATCGCTCCTGTGGGGGGGGGATCGATAGGAGCAGGGGAGGGGCGGGGCCCCACGGATCCCCCCGCGCTGACTCCTCCCATCGTCCCTTTCAAACCCACTCTCTGCTTAATTTGCATGGCCACACCTCCTTTGTCCGAACACCTCCCCCTTCCTCCAGCCTGATTGGCCGGCAGCGCACTGCGATTTGCATTCGCTCCGCCCCTCCAGTCGATTTGCATAATCACCGCCCCCTCCAGACCCCGCCCCCAGGAACGACCCCGGGCCTGGAAATTCGGTGAAAATCTTTATTTTGGTGGAAAAAGGGCGGGCGAGGCCGGGGGTCACCCGGGGGGGGCTGGGGGAGCGCCCTACAAAAAACGGGGGGCTCAGGCAGGGGGGGGGACAGAGCTCCGGCCAGGGCCACACCTGGAAGAGAGCAGAGAGGTGAGGGGGGCATGGGGGGACACGGGGACATCGGGACACGGGGACATCGGGACACGGGGACAACCGGACACGGGGACACCCAGATGTGGGGACACCCAGACACGGGGATACCCAGACATGGGGACACCCGGACACGGGGACACCCGGACACGGGGACAGCCGGACACGGGGACACCCAGATGTGGGGACACCCAGATGTGAGGACACCCAGACATGGGGACACCCAGACATGGGGACATCCAGATGTGAGGACACCTGGACATGGGGACACCCAGACATGGGGACACCCAGACATGGGGACACCCGGACAGGGGGACACCCAGACGTGAGGACACCCAGACATGGGGACACCCGGACATGGGGACACCCAGACGTGAGGACACCCAGACATGGGGACACCCGGACATGGGGACACCCGGACATGGGGACACCCAGACGTGGGGACACCCAGACATGGGGACACCCGGACATGGGGACACCCAGACGTGAGGACACCCAGACATGGGGACACCCGGACATGGGGACACCCGGACATGGGGACACCCAGACATGGGGACACCCAGATGTGAGGACACTCAGGCACTGGGACACAGTGGTGCCAGCGCCTGCTCCAGCAGGGAAAGGGGCATCCCCCTGATGGGGGAGGGACAAGGAGGTGACAGCCCCTGCTCTGTGGAGGACAGGGGTCCCGGTGCCATGGGAGGGACATGGTGGTGACAGGGACAGGGACACGGTGGTGACGGGGGCAGGGACACGGTGGTGACAGGGGCAGGGACACGGTGGTGACGGGGACAGGGACACGGTGGTGGCGGGGACAGGGACACGGTGGTGACGGGGGCAGGGACACAGTGGTGACAGGGGCAGGGACACGGTGGTGATGGGGGCAGGGACACGGTGGTGACGGGAGGAGGGACGCGGTGGTGACGGGGGCAGGGACACGGTGGTGACGGGGGCAGGGACACGGTGGTGACGGGGGGACGAACACGGTGGTGAGAGGGGGAGGGACACGGTGGTGACAGGGGCAGGGACACGGTGGTGACAGGGGAAAGGACACGGTGGTGACGGGGACAGGGACACGGCGGCAGCAGCAGCGACGCGGGGCACGTCTGACCTGGGGGCACGTCTGACCTGGGGGCACATCTGACCTGACGCGGCGTCGGCGTCCGGGGGCCGCGAGGCCACGGTGACAGCATCGAGTCCCAGGGTGGGGGTGAGTCCGCGGCGATCCTGGGGGGGAGAGGCCGTTACCGAGCGCCGGGGCCGCGGCTCCGGGGGGGGCGGCGCCGCCGCTCACCTCAGAAGGCTCAGAAGGCGGAATAGCGCGCCCGGTCCCCGAAGGGGTCCCGCCCGAAGCGCTGCATGTCGTAGAGCGAGGCCCGGGCCACCGAGGAGACGGGCGAGAGCTGGCCCCGCTCGTACGTGTACGCCTCTCCCACGGTGCTGGCCGCGGCGGCCGTGCGGCGCAGGGGGCTCCTGTCCCGGGTGTAATAGGTGGAGGAGGCGGCCGCGCGGCGCAGTGGCGGCGGCGGCAGCGGCGCCGCGCGCCGGAGCCGGCAGCAGCGCTCGGTCGTACGCTGGCCGAGGGCGGCGGGAGGCGGCCGGCCATGGTCGTGGTGGCGGCCATGGCCGAGGACTGACCTGGGAGTACTGGGCGCACTGGGAGTACTGGGCCATGGTCTGCTCCGCGTAGGCGTCGTACGCGGAGGCCGTGGCGTAGGAGCGGACGCGGTAGCGCTTGTAGTAGTCGGCCATCCCGCCGTAGGCCTCATCGTAATACACGGTCTCCCCATAGCCCGCGGCGTAGGGAGCGCGCACGGCTCCGTACTGCTCGTTATAGGCCTCGGCAAAGTCCGCCACTTGCCCCGGGCGATCCACGGGGCACTCCTTAGACCAGTGCCCCTCCTTCCCGCAGCGGTAGCAGCCGCTCTTGTCTCCCATCCCGGGCGCCGTCCGCAGCCGGCTGGTGGACAGCTGCACGCGCATCCGCTTGCCTTGGGGAGAGGGAGACCCGCCGTCACCCGCCGGCCCCGCGCCACCGCGGCCCCGGAGCTGCCCCGGGCACCGGCACCGCACCCAGGGTCCCTCAGAGCTGTCACCAGCACCGCACCCAGGGTCCCTCAGAGCTGTCACCAGCACCAGCACCATGCCCAGGGTCCCTCAGAGCTGCCCCAGGCACCAGCACCGTGCCCAGGGTCCCTCAGAGCTGTCACCAGCACTGCCCCCAGGGTCCCTCAGAGCTGTCACCAGCACCATGCCCAGGGTCCCTCAGAGCTGCCCCAGGCACCAGCACCGTGCCCAGGGTCCCTCAGAGCTGCCCCGGGCACCGGCACTGCCCCCAGGGTCCCTCAGAGCTGTCACCGGCACCATGCCCAGGGTCCCTCACAGCTGTCACCAGCACCGGCACCATGCCCAGAGTCCCTCAGAGCTGTCACCAGCACCAGCACCGTGCCCAGGGTCCCTCAGAGCTGTCACCAGCACCAGCACCGTGCCCAGGGTCCCTCAGAGCTGTCACCAGCACCAGCACCGTGCCCAGGGTCCCTCAGAGCTGTCACCAGCACCAGCACCGTGCCCAGGGTCCCTCAGAGCTGCCCCAGGCACCAGCACCGTGCCCAGGGTCCCTCAGAGCTGTCACCAGCACTGCCCCCAGGGTCCCTCAGAGCTGCCCTGGGCACCAGCACCGCGCCCAGGGTCCCTCAGAGCTGTCACCAGCACCATGCCCAGGGTCCCTCAGAGCTGCCCCAGGCACCAGCACCGTGCCCAGGGTCCCTCAGAGCTGTCACCGGCAGCAGCACCGCGCCCAGGGTCCCTCAGAGCTGTCACCGGCAGCAGCACCGCGCCCAGGGTCCCTCAGAGCTGTCACCAGCACTGCCCCCAGGGTCCCTCAGAGCTGCCCTGGGCACCAGCACCGCGCCCAGGGTCCCTCAGAGCTGTCACCAGCACTGCCCCCAGGGTCCCTCAGAGCTGCCCCGGGCACCAGCACTGCCCCCAGGGTCCCTGAGCTGCCCTGGGCACCAGCACCGTGCCCAGGGTCCCTCAGAGCTGTCACCAGCACCGCCCCCAGGGTCCCTCAGAGCTGTCACCAGCACCAGCACTGCCCCCAGGGTCCCTCAGAGCTGCCCTGAGCACCAGCACCGTGCCCAGGGTCCCTCAGAGCTTTCACCGGCACCATGCCCAGGGTCCCTCAGAGCTGTCACCAGCACCAGCACCATGCCCAGGGTCCCTCAGAGCTGTCACCAGCACTGCCCCCAGGGTCCCTCAGAGCTGTCACCGGCACCAGCACCGTGCCCAGGGTCCCTCAGAGCTGTCACCGGCACCAGCACCGTGCCCAGGGTCCCTCACAGCTGCCCCGGGCACCAGCACCGCCCCCAGGGTCCCTCAGAGCTGCCCTGGGCACCAGCACCATGGCCAGGGTCCCTCAGAGCTGTCACCAGCACCAGCACCATGCCCAGGGTCCCTCAGAGCTGTCACCAGCACCATGGCCAGGGTCCCTCAGAGCTGTCACCAGCACCATGCCCAGGGTCCCTCAGAGCTGTCACCAGCACCAGCACTGCCCCCAGGGTCCCTCAGAGCTGTCACCAGCACCAGCACCGTGCCCAGGGTCCCTCAGAGCTGCCCCGAGCACCAGCACCAAGCCCAGGGTCCCTCAGAGCTGCCCTGGGCACCGACACTGCCCCCAGGGTCCCTCAGAGCTGTCACCAGCACCATGGCCAGGGTCCCTCAGAGCTGCCCCGGGCACCAGCGCTGTGCTATGCAGACCCCCCGGCACCGGCACCGGGGGATGTCGAGGAATTGGGGGCAGCTGCAGGTTCAGCTCTGGGTGGGATCCCCAGGAAGAGACACAACGAAGGGGCTGGGGACACGTGGCCCAGCCAGGGACAGGGAGGGACACCTGGGGACACGGCAGGAGGTGACAACCCCCAGACATTCCCGTGCACAGACTGCAGGGAGGGTTCCATTGCTCAGGGTCCCTCGTCAGAGACACTGCCTCGAGCTGTGATTTTGTTGTTTAATCGCTGCACCAGCATTAAATCATTTTAAAGACTGGGATGTCTGAGACACCCAAGAGCTGCCCTCAGCACTGGCACCGTGCCAAGGGACCCCCGAGAGCCAGCACCGGGCCACGGGGTCCCTGAGACCCGTCCCTGGCACCGTGAGACCCCCAGAGCCACCCCCGGCACCGCTGAGGGCGGGGAGGGACAGGACCCGCCTGGGTGGGCACCAGCAGAGGGTCCCCCTGGTCCTGGCAGGAGTTTGGGGGCAGAGGAGCCGCGCTGGCAGTGCCTGGCATGGCAGAGTGTCTGGCTGGGACTGCCGGCCTCGTTTACCGATATCACCCCATTTCCCCCCAAATTGCGGCCACACAGGGACACCACCAGTCCCACGAGGAGGCCCCAGGGGCAGAACCTGCCCCAGAGCTGCTGGGTTTGGGCAAACACTCCGGAATTCCCGACAAATCCGGCGTTGTAGAGCTGCTCTGACCCCACACGGAGCCACCGCGGCACCACCGGCCCTGGGCACGTCCCGGGCTGCGGAACCCACACCGGGCAAGGGACACGGGAAGGGGACACAGGAAGGGGACACGAGAAGGGGACACGGCTCCGCTGGGGAGGGGACACGGCGCCAAAAGCCCCCTCGGAGCCGCATCCTGGCGCTCCGGGACGACAGGAAGCACCGAACAGCTCCAGACGCTGCAGAGGCCACGGCACCGAGATGAGTTTCGGGGACACCCGGATCCATCTGGAACCCCCTGGAGCGGCACCTCCCCGTGCCCCCAGACCCCCCCTGCCCGGCCCGGCGCCCGCCGAGCCCGGGCTCACCCTGGAACTCGGTGTTGTCCAGCCCCCGGATGGCCTCCACCGCGTCCTCCGCCCGCTCCATGTGCACGAAGGCGTAGTCCTTGACGATGTCGCACTCGATGACGGGGCCGTACTCCTCGAACTTGGCGCGCAGCTCCAGGTTGGTGCAGGCGGGGCTGATGTTGCCCACGTGCAGCTTGGTGGAGGCCTTGCTCTTGTTCTTGCTGGCCTCCACGTTGATGCAGACGCCGTGCAGCTTGTGGTGGTGCAGGTTGCGGATGGCGTCCTCGGCCGCCGTCTTGTCCTCGATGTGCACGAAGCCGTAGTTCTTGATGATGTCGCACTCCAGCACCTTCCCGTACTGCTCGAACAGGGAGCGGATCTCCTGCTCCGTCGCCTCCCGCGGCAGGTTCCCGATGAACAGCTTCACCATCGCGACCCGCCTGCAGCGCGGGGGGGGAGAGGGGCGGCTGGTGAGACCCCCGAGCACCCCCAGCTGCAGGGAGGGGCCGGAGCAGAGCCCCCAGACCGTCCCCAGCTCCAGGGACACGGCTCAGTGAGGCCCTGCCCGGGGCCAGCCGGGGAAGGGGCAGCTGGGGGTGACCCCCCCGAGCGCTCCCAGCTTTGCAGAGAGGGGCCGGAATAAGCCCCCATCCCTCAAACGATCAGAGAGGGGCTGGAATAAGCCCCCCACCCGGGGAAGGGCTGGATCAGAGACACCCGCCCCGGTACCCCCGGCCGCGGGGACTCGTCCTGCACCCCCATCCCCCGTCCCGTTCCCCTCCACAGACCGCGGGGCCCCGGCCCGGCCCCGGCGCTCCCCCAGCCCCTCTCCAGCCCCTCCCGGTGCTCCCCCAGCCCCTCCCAGCCCCTCCCGGTGCTGCCCCAGCCCCTCCTAGCCCCTCCCGGTGCTCCCCAGCCCCTCCTGGTCCCCTCCCGGTGCTCCCCCAGCCCCTCCCAGCCCCTCCCGGTGCTCCTCCAGCCCCTCCCAGTGCTCTCCCAGCCCCTCCCCAGCCCCTCCCCAGCCCCTCCCGGTGCTCCTCCAGCCCCTCCCCAGCCCTCCGGTCCCCTCCCGGTGCTCCCCCAGCCCCTCCCCAGCCCCTCCCGGTGCTCCCCCAGCCCCTCCCGGTGCTCCCCCAGCCCCTCCCCAGCCCCTCCCGGTGCTCCCCCAGCCCCTCCCGGTGCTCCCCCTTCTCTCACCGCGCCCCCCCCTCGTTCCGGGGCTCGGTGACGGCACCGGCGAGAAAATGGCGGTGGCGGGCGCCTCAGGCGGGGCCCCGCCCCCCGCGCGAGCTGATTGGCCCGGGCCGGCGGGGCGGCCCCGCGCGATTGGCCGAGGCTCCCTCAGGCTCCGCCCAGCCCCGGGCTGGGCGGGGTCAGAGCTGAAGGCGCCGCGGGGAGCGGAGGGGCCGGGCGGGAACGGCCGGGACAGGCCCGGATCGGGAGGGATCGACAGCGATCGACAACGATCGACAGCGATCGACAGCGACCGACAGCGATCGAGCAGCACCGGGACAGCGACTGACAGCGACAGAGATCCATACAGCGACCGGCCGGGTCAGGGATCCACCGGGAACGAGCAGCACCGGGACCGACAGGGATCGGTACCGACAGGGACAGGGTTCGGGACAGGAACCGGCTCGGGGATCGATCGGCACCGGGACCCACGCCGTCCCCGCGGGACCGGCCTGGTCCCGCCCCTTCGCCTTGGCCCCGCCCCCTCGGTGTCCGCCCCGCCCCTTTCCATTGGCCCCGCCCATTCTCATCGCAGCCCCGCCCTCTTCTCTCGGCCCCGCCCCCGATGTCCCACGCGGTGCTGCTGCTGCGGAGGCTGCGAGGCCGGGACCGGGAGCGGGAGCGGGAGCGGGAGCGGGAGCGGGATCGGGAGCGGCACCGGGACCGGGAGCGGGACTGGGAGCGGGATCAGGATCGGCAGCGGGGCCAGGACTGTGACCGGGATCGGGATCGGGATCGGGATCGGCAGCGGGGCCAGGACTGTGACCGGGATCAGGATCAGAACCAGGAGCGGGATCAGGGCCGGAACCGGGATCGGGACCTGAACTGGCATCAGGACCACCACCAGGACTGGGCATCAGGACTGGCATCAGGACCATGATCGAGACCAACCCTGGCTCCGGCACCAGGATCGGGATCAGAACCAGCCCTGGGGGCAGGACCAGCACCGGGACAGCGCCCAGGACCGTAACCATCACCAGAACCAGGCCCTGGGCCAGGACAGCGCCCAGGACCGTGACCAGCACCAGCACCAGCCCTGGGGCGGGAGCAGCACCGGGACAGCTCCCAGGACCGTGACCATCACCAGAACCAGGCCCTGGGCCGGGACCAGCACCGGGACAGCACCCAGGACCGCAACCATCACCGGCCCCAGCCCTGGGGGCAGGAGCAGCACCGCAACCATCACCGGCCCCAGCCCCGGGGGCAGGAGCAGGACCTCGACCCCGCTCCCTCCCCGCTGGCCGGAGGTTCCCGGAGCCGCCCTCCCCGTCGCCGCCGCCGCCGGCCGTACCCGGCGCAGCGCGTGTACCGGGCGCGCTGCTCGTTCCTGGAGCTGAGCGAGGAGCAGGCGCTGCGGCGCTGCCGCCTGGACCGCGCGGCCATCGCGGCGCTGTGCGGGGAGCTGGGCGCCGACCTGCAGAGCCTCACGGGCCGCAGCCACGCGCTGCCCGTGGCCGTCAAGGTCACCTCGGCGCTCGCCTTCCTGGCCTCGGGCTCGTTCCAGGCGGCGTCGCGGCTGAGCGCGGGCATCAGCCAGTCGGCCATGTCCAAGAGCCTGGCGCAGTTCCTGGCGGCCCTGCAGCGCCGCGCCCCGCGCTTCATCGCCTTCTCGCTGCCCTCCGCGGCCCCCGCGGGTTCCCCTGTGGGTTCCTCTATGGGTTCCTCCGTGGGTTCCCCCGTGGGGCTGCCCGGCGTGCTGGGCCTGGTGGGGCTCCACGCACGTGGCGCTGCGGGCTCCGGCCCGGCACGAGCCGCTGTTCCGCAACGCCGCCCGCTCCCACTCGGTGAACGCGCAGGTGGTCGTGGACCCCGCCGGCCACATCACCAACGTCGTGGCCAAGTTCCCCGGCTCGTGCCCCAACCACGCCGTCCTGGAGAACTCGGCGCTGGCGCGGCTCATGGACAGGGCGCGGCCCGAGGGGTCTGGCTGCTGGGTGAGCGGGGCCGGGGGTCCTGGGGGTCCTGGGGGTCCCAGGGAGGGGGTGTCCTGGAGAATTCGGCTCGGATTAGAGATACCCACTGAGGGCTCGGGGTTAACCTGGGGTCTGGGGGTGGCCTTGGGGGTATCTGACCCTGAGGGCCTGGGGGTCTGGGGTTAACCTGGGGTCTGGGGGTCTCAGGGTGACCCTGGGGTCTCAGGAGTTAACCTGGGGGTCTAGAGGGTCTCAGGGTTACCCTAGAGGTTTGGGAGGTCTCATGGTTAACCTAAGGGTCTCGGGGGGCCTCATGGTTAACCTGGGGGTCTGGGGGGGTCTCAGAGGGACCCTGGGGGTCTGGGGATCTCAGGGTTAACCTGGGGATCTCAGGATTACCCTGGGGGTCTGAGGGTTACCCTGGGGTCTGGGGATCTCATGGTAACTCCTGGGGTCTGGGGTGCCCCCATCGCTCCGAGAGGTCCCGGTGCTGCCCGCTGACCCCCCCCTGTCCCCCCAGGTGACAGCACCCACCCTCTGACCCCCATGTCCTCTCCACCCTCTGACCCCTCCCTGTTTCCCCAGGTGACAGCAGCTCCCTCTGACCCCCCTGTGTCCCCCCACCCTCTGACCCCCTGTCCCCCAGGTGACAGCACCCACCCTCTGACCCCCTGTTTCTGACCCCCTGTGTCCCCGAGGTGACAGCACCCACCCTCTGACCCCTGTGTCCCCCAGGTGACAGCAGCCCCCTGACCCCCTGTGTCCCCCAGGTGACAGCACCTACCCGCTGACCCTGTGTCCCCCAGGTGACAGCACCCACCCTCTGACCCCCTGTGTCCTCCCCAGGTGACAGCTCGCATCCGCTGACCCCCTGTGTCCCCCAGGTGACAGCAGCTCCCCTGCTGTCCCCCCAGGTGACAGCAGCTCCTGTGTCCCCCCAGGTGACAGCTCGCACCGCTGACCCCTGTTCCTGACCCCTGTTTCTCCCCCAGGTGACAGCTCGCACCCGCTGACCCCTGTTTCTGACCCCTGTTTCTGACCCCCTGCTTCTCCCCAGGTGACCTCACCCTCTGACCCCCTCCCTGTGTCCCCCCCAGGTGACAGCTCGTACCCGCTGAAGCCGTGGCTGCTGACGCCCATCCGGGGGGCTCGGGGGGCTGCCGAGCTGCGCTACAACGCCCTGCACCGGCGGGCCCTGCGGCCCCTGCGCCGCACCCTGGCCCTGCTGCGGCGCCGCTTCCGCTGCCTGGCGGGCGGGGGGCTCCAGTACAGCCCCCCCAAGGTGTGCCAGATCTTCCTGGCCTGCTGCGTGCTGCACAACATCGCCCTGCGCCGCCGCCTGCCCCTCGAGCCCCCCGAGGGCTCCCTGCGCCCCAGAGCCCCCGGCGCCTGCGCCCCCGGCCCTGGGCACCGCGAGGGCCGCGCCGTGAGGCCCGGCTGGTGCAGAGGGTCCGGGAGGGATGGGATGAGGGGGGCCGGGGGGCTCTGGGGTCCTGAGCCCCGCTTGGGGGCTTTGAGCCTCTGGGGGTCTTGAACCCTCATTGGGGGCTCTGGGGTCCTGAGCCCCGATTTGGGGGGCTTTGAGCCTCTGGGGAGTCTTGACCCTCACTTTGGGGGCTCTAGGGGTCCTGAGCCCTGCTCTGGGGAGGCTTTGAGCTTCTGGGGGGGCTCTGAGCCCTCTGGGGTGGGCTGATCCCTGATTTGGGGGGGTGTTGACCCTCCATTGGGGGGCTCTGAGCCCCTCTGGGGCGGGTTGATCCCTGATTAGGGGGGTCCTGACCTTAATCCGGGGGGGGTCCTGAGCCTCCTGGGGTGGTCCCTGCCCCCCCCATCACCTGCCGTGCCCCCCCCATGGTCCCCATTTTGGTGCTGTCCCCTCCTCCTCCCCCCAGTGTATCTGTGCTCGTTTTGGGGTGAATAAAGAGGGTTTTTTCAACCCTTTATTGTCCCGCAGAGTTTTGGGGGTCCCGTGGGGGGGTGGGGTGGGGTGGAGGTTTCTGGGGAGCTTTGGGGTCTCCTCCTTGAGCCCTCCGACCCCTCTGATTCCCCCAATCCTTCCCTGAGCCTCTAAATTCTCCCCCCCGGCCCCTCAAGCTCGCCTGGGCCCCGGAATCTCCCGAGGGTCCCCAAAGGCCCCCGAGAGTCCCCAGAGGCCCCCGAGGGTCCCCAAAAGCCCCCGAGGGTCCCCAAAAGCTCCCGAGGGTCCCCAAAAGCCCCCGAGGGTCCCCAAAGCCCCTGAGGGTCCCCAAAGCCCCCGAGGGTCCCCAAAGGCCTCGATGCCCCCCCCGGGTGGT